TTATAAATTTTATAAGATAAAGATGGTGAGTATAAAAGATTCAACCACAGAAAATTATAATTTTCATATTTTGTGTTTCGTTAGGTATGATTTATAGAAAAGATTTTTATAGCTTGGTTTAATTTAAACTAAGTTTATTTTATTTCTGAGATATTTGAGTTTCCTTTTTTATTACTCTTTATTTTAGATCCGTGCCTGAACTACCATTTCGTGGACTGTCTAATGTGGAATTTCTAAGTCTGGCTGATAACGAACTAGAAGAGATCCCAAAGCACATGCTTAATCATATGCCTATTATAAAAACGCTTGACATGGGCAAATGTCGTATAAGGGCAGTGCTGCAAGATGATTTTAAAGGCACTCAAATGTTAACCAATCTATTTATATCAGTCAATAATATAACACGTGTAGATCGTACAACATTCCCACCTGCTTTAGTTGTATTGCATTTGGGTCATAATCAAATTGAATATCTTAACGGTACATTGCGTCACCTGAATAAATTAGAATCTTTGTTTATTAATATGAATAACATAAGTAATTTAGAGAACGAATTGCCAGAAACAAATCGTTTGAAATTGATATTGGCACATAATAATCGTCTAGAGCGTTTGCCGGAAAGTATACGTTTTATGGATAAATTGGAAGGGTTACAAGTGCAACACAATCATTTAACTACTTTGAATGGTGTGCTGAGAAACGCAGTAAATCTTATTGAATTTCACGCTTTTAACAATAAGATTAAATCGCTGGCGCGCAATGAATTTGAAATGGCCACAAAATTGGGCGAAATTTATTTTGCTCATAATCAAATAAAATCCTTGAACGGTTCCTTATTACCTTTGCAAATGTTGCATCGTGCAAATTTTTTCCTATAACCTAATTGAAGAGTTCTCAATTGATGAAATACGCGGCCTATTGAGCTTAAGGCAACTGGATCTATCAAATAATCATATAACAAAGCTGTGTGGCCGTCAAGAGAATCATATTGACAAAAATTCATATTTGGTTGAATTCTATTTAGATTATAATGAACTTAAAACGCTTGATGGTGCTCTGATGGGTTTGAACAGTTTGCGTATTTTAGGATTAACACATAATCAAATAGAACGCATTCTACCGGAAGATTTTATTGGATTGGAAAAATTGGAAATTTTAGAATTATCGCATAATAAATTATTGACTCTAACCGAAATGCAAACAGTTAGTACACAAATTTCAAATTGTTTTAAAATTTTAATCAAAAACGGCAAAAAAAGCTGGAGAGTCCATTTTCGTTTTACATTTATGACCTTTGTATCTTGCAGACCGTGCTGCCAAGTTTGAAAATTCTTAAAGTGGATTACAACAATTTGACTATCCTTGACAAAGATTTCCATGGTCTGCCCGTCCTTTGCCAAGCTAATTTAACTAGCAACAACATACAGCACATTTCACGTGATTTAGTGGCCAAGACAAGATGCATAAATCACAATGTACCCGGCAAATTGGAACTATTTTTGGAAGGTAATTGATACAATTGAATACAACTTTTTTTTTAAGATAAAAAAAATTTATATATACATCGGTTGGAGGGAAAGCTCTATCGTATTTTAAAGAAAACATTTGAATTCATTTATAAAAACATGTGTTTAATATTAATCAATTAAATATGCTCCGTTATTTGTTACAACCTGTTGCCATCGTTCAGTTAACCTCTGAATTCCTATTTTGTAGAAGTTCTCGTCCTTGAAGTTAAAACAGTGAGTAACTGCCTTAGAAGCACCTTCAAAAAAAAGTGCATTTTTTTCACCTTAGATAATTTTGCAGAGATCTCTACAGGTAATAATCAGATGGTGCAATGTCAGGTGAATACGATGGGTGACTAAACACTGCCCATCCTAACGTATTCAGTTTTTGTTGTCGCACCATTGCCTTATGCGGTCGAGCATTATCGTGGTGGAACAGTAATCCTTTTCATGTTGAACCCAAACACTTTGCTTTAACACAAACGCAATAGATTTTATGTGATCTCCAACAGTTGTATGACGAACGCCTAACTCTTCTACAATTTCTCGGCTTGTTAAATGTGAATTATTTTCCAACATGGATCCCAAAACATCATTCATAGATCACTTTCTTGGAGGCTCAGATCCCCGTAACGAAATTTGCTAAACCATCTTTGACAAGTACGAACATTTACAATATCTTTTCCAACTACTGCACATAAATTTTTACATGCAACCGATGCGTTGCTTCCTTTTTGGAATTCATACAAAATGCATTGTCATAAATGCACTTTATCTACTGACATGTTTTTTAGTTTAAATACCACAAGTAAATGATGAAAGGTAAAAGAAAACTCCTTTTATATTATACAACAGCTAAAAAAAAAAAAAAAATCCGAATGACTTACTAGCCAGATGTTTTTTTATTTACAAGAAAAATTACCTGCCTATTTAAAATACGAGAGAACTTTCCCTCCAACCTAATATATATATATATATATATATATATATAAATATCTTACAGATAATCCTTTAAGTTGCAATTCGCTTCTCGAAGAGTTTTGTTCAGTGATGCTTGATCCGGAACGACGGGTACGATTGCGTACTAAATGTTTCGAGGTTTATGAGGATTTATGTAAAATGTTAATAGTATTGCCACCGAAAAGCATTATACCTTTGCTAAATGATCAGCTGAAAAGGAAAGCTGACGAATTGCTCCCACCATTACTAGCGCCACTGGGTCAACCATCCATAAAAACTTCACCTATTATGAATTCAATCAACCTATTAGAAGCAGCCAATGTGGACACAGATACCACAACTAATTTACCTACCACATCAACAACAACTACAATACCAGCAACCGTCCCTGCAGAAATTCTGCAACATATTGAAAGTATTTATAGTGCTGAAGTAAATGATACCTTAATCGACTCTTTATTAACACACGGCAGTCGTATAGTGAAGGCGACAACGCCTGGAGGACCGTCAGCGACAACTACAACAACGCCAATCCCAACCTCTCTAATATCAGTTTACAATTTTGATCATGTACGAAAATCGGAAGAGAAATTGGGAACTATACCTATCACTCACGGAAACAACAAGGAGGAAGCTTTAGAGACCGGACATAATACAACTCCCTCAATTTTAGTTTTCAATATAGCTGACCCGCAAGCAAAACAAATAGCGATAAATTCGAAAATATCGCCTATACCGAAAGCCGAATATTCCACAATGGAATATATACCTGCGGTTAACAATGTTGGAAATCAGGAATCGCCCCTACCACATCCTGCAAATATTCTAATTGATGAAAATTCACAAGTGAATTCACTGCCTGAGGACTATCATTCTAAAGTTTTGCCCAATATAAACAATGCGCCGCAAAGCCTTTTAATGCCAGAAGATCCGCCAGAGAATCCTTAAACGTACACATGAATATGTACGTGAGTGAGTGACTTTAACCCACTCTAAAACTAATTTGACATTAATAATTATTACAATAGTTTCAGTCGCATTATTTAACAAACTTTTTATAATTCTCTAATGCTAACTTCATGAGTTTCATAACCAAAGGAAGTGTGCCTTATTTTCAACTTAAAAAATATATTCTCAATCGTTGTTTCTTTATATTTTAAGTTTTACTTTCTTTCTTTAACTTAACTCTTCCTTTCTGTTGGTAATAAATCTTTTAACTTTTCTTATTTACCCTCCCTAGATTCGTATGTGTACAATTTTAATACGTGTTAGTTGCTATATTACAAGTATTTATGATGTTATGATTTATTGATTGTTTATATATAACATGAGCAAGAATACTTTCTTAACAATATTAATTATACGATTTTATGATTGAATATTATTTTAGGTTTAAAATGTCTACGAATTAATATAAAAGAAGCAACAATAAGAATTTTAATTAGTCTGTGTACATGTTTTGTGTTACTGTGTTTTTGCGGGCCTTCCGTTTCTTCAAAGATGATATTATAATTTCACCACAAAATAAAGAAATTAACAAATCTTCTGATTTTGTTTTCATCTTTCATTCTTAATTATTTAATGCATTCCAGTTATTTCTTATCTCTTAAACATCTCATTTATGCGAATACACAGTAAAAGTTAAGTGGTCGAAAATAACGTTAAGTCTATTAGTCGAGAAAGCTTTAGTGAGTTACACATGTAAATAAACGAAAAATTAATATATACATATTAAGAGCTTTTTTTATGATTTTATTGATCAATGGGCGAAACCATTGTTACAGTCTAAAAAATGAATATATATATATATTTTTATTTCTTCTTTTGGATGCAAAATTTTAACATACTTAAGTATTAAAAGAAATAACCATTTTTAAAAATAAAAAAAATAAATAAACCTGAACAGCGGAGTAGTTCACGCAGGTCTCTTTAATTTAAGGCACTTTGTGGCAAACTTATGTAAATTTGAAACTAAAAAAAAAAACACTTGATTCACGTATTTATAGATAGCGATTTAAAAAAAAAAGTAAGAAAATTATATTCGGTCGTGACAGAATCTTTTACACCCAACACTGTAATTGTTATTATTATTATTATTATTATTAATATTATTATAAATTTAACCAGAGAATAAATTCTAAGACTAAAAGTCTTGAAGCACTGGCGTTTAAGGCGTTATTAAAACTCTACCGCACTTGAGAGTTGAACCCACGACTATTGAGTTGCTAGTCGAGACTCTTGCCTACTCAGCCAATCAGGCTGCCGATTTTTTCTATTTCAGAACAAAAGTGGAAATTTGTATGGTATTTGGGTAAAGAGATAGTGTACACAGTTTTTTTGCATAGGCATGTCGTTTGACCGGTTTGCATCATTTTGAAATTGTTTTGCAAATTTGTAGGCGATACCTTCATTTTCGCTAACGGAAAAAAGTTTATTACAAATACTGCACTGGCAGATGAACAAGCGAACATGTTCAGGTGCATTATGGGATTTTTGAAGCTTGCTTCTGCGTATTTTAGGACGATTGAAACAAAATTAAGTGTTGATGCACTATAACAATTGGGCGTTCTCTCTTTCGCACAGAGGTTTTCTCCATTTCTTATGTCATATTTGACACAACAACAGAAAAGGTGTCTAAGTAAAAATCGTTGTCCGGCAGCTATGGGTAGCCTTCAAACACCAATTACTCCAAAGTAACGGTAGGCGGAAGTGGGTAGGTTTTTCTTAAATCAGACCAATTTTCCTCAAAATGTACAGAAATTCGCTTTTGAGACGCATAACTTCTGTAAAAATCTCCATCCAACGATATATATACATTTTTATACACTTTTCTAATAAATACATACATGAAATCGTTTATTTATGCATTTTCGGATAAGATAAGAGACTTTGAACCATTCTTCAGAGGCCTTCTTCGTCTTACGAGGTTACTTTTACGCCCATCTCGATGCTTCTCTGCTGCCACACTCAAATGAGCAGACGAACTATTCCGCTTGAAGTATATACTCCTATTCTCTCAATTATTTAATAACAATGAGAATATTTTATTTATCTCTTATTTGTTTAGGAGGAAGGGTTACACCTGTTGGTGATAAGGCCAATATACCCAATAGTATGTTGAGTTTTTGTTACTTGTTCATGCTTTGCGCTTCATCAGTGATAGGAACAGTTTATGATGATTATGAAAAGATTCTCTTCTCTTTTACCACATTACTGGGTATAGCTGATCACATATTTTTACATAATATTACTGCCTAAGTTATACTGTTCACTAAAGCTCAAAAGTCCCCTCAGCTCCTTACTATACGTATAATTTCACCAATTGTTCTCAACCCTGTCCAATTTTAAATATTGCGCAGCCACCACATTTCTGCCCAAGTCTCCACGCCCTTCGATACAACCTTTGAATATTAAATGTAGGATTTCAAATTTTTCTCCACCTAGCATTTGTCCAAAATATACAGTTTTCCGTTGTTTAATATACCTTGGTAGCTCACGCTTAGAGTTAAGTCTTCTCAGGACTCGGATATGCGATCTACGATTTTTAGGATTCTACGGTAACACCACATCTCAAAGGCATTCAGTGTGCTCATTGTACTGACCTTTAATGTCCATGATTCTACATCATGCAACTGTACTGACCATAGGAAGCATTTTATGAAACGAAGGCGAAGGAATAAGCTCATTTCAGGCCTGCTAGAATTTTCTGATATGTCATATACGCTGACGTAGCCGTTTCTATTCTCCTTTTTGCTTCCACGTCGTTCTTTCAGTCTTCGTGCAATGTGAATTGTAACATGCAATTGAATAATGTAAGATTTGTTGCATATACAACCCTGCAATATGTAAGTTTGCTGATTTCACTCGTAGATAGGTTTGACATTTAGCAAAAAAACTAGAGCCAACTTCATGATGTGAAGGCAAGAACAAAAAAGGAAGATGGCGGGCTTGAAGAAATGTGTTCGGTCATTTTAATTTGCTTGAGCAGTGAAAAGGAACAAAATTAACGGAAGCCACTAAAATTACGAATACGAATTATGAAAAAGATAAATTGTATAGAAAATGTTTAAGTTGCTAAACCATGGAGAAAATATTTCTAACAATTGTAAAATCATAATTTTTGAAGAGAACGTGGCTTAATAACTTCCAGAGCTACAGCAATGATTTCAATTTTTCTAGTTATTTTTGTGAAAGAGCCTGGGTCCCCAAAAGATAGCTGTAGGTAAATCAAAATTTTGTTAAAAACGAACTTGATACTTGATCTATTTCACGAGAGTTGGAATAAATTAAACGTTATTCAGTAAAGTGATCAAACAATACCTTCTTTTGTCTGTTTGTCTTCATGTATTAAAAAGCCTTTATCTAAAAAATTGAACAGCACTTGCATTCTTTTTTTATAAACTGGTTGCCATATTCTACAACGATACACAACTTCTTGGAGAAATAATAAAGAAGTAAAGTTTCAAATTGCAAGAAGAAACCGTAACCAAGGAAAGGTGCAGTGTAACCTTTTAGTATGATGCGTAGTTAAAGCAAAATGGAAACTCTATAGTAGTTTTATAAAGTAAAATTATTTCTGCTAGTATGCATCCTTTTCCGATTAATTTCAATTTATTTTATATAAAATTAAATGCAGAACCAATAATAGACGATAAGCGATAAGAAAAAACAAAAAAATTTTTTTTTTAAATATATCGCCAAAAGAAAAGAAAACCAATCGAAAAATTCTAGAAAATAAAAATAAATCTAAAATCCACCCACAGAATTACATTAAGAACATTCAAATGTTTAAGCAGCATGACTGTAAAAGAAATGTAATAAAAATATAGAAAATAAAATTTAAATTTAAAGATATAAGACAGAACTGAAAAATTGCGTAGTAATAATAATTTCTGCAAGTAAAAAATAAGCTGTTAAAATACAATAAAAATTTGTGTAGATACTTAAATACTTATATCATAAATCAATGCATTGATATTGTAAGAAAGCATTTATTATTATTATTAATAATAATATTATTATTTTAATTTTAGACTAATGAATTGAATTCTTAGACTAAAAAAAAGACATTGAGCACTAGCAACACAGGCTATCGGCTCTAATTTAAATAAATGGATATTAGATAATAAGTTTAGTAGTATTAATAAAGTAAAATATTATTATTATTATTATTATTATTATTATTATTAGAAATTTAGCCAGACAATAAATTCTAAGACTAAACTCTTAAAAGCACTAGCATCTAAGGCTTTCGGCTTTATTAAAAACTCTACCGCACTTGAGATTTGAACCCACGACCATTGAGTTGCTAGTCGAGACTCTTGCCTACTCGGCCACTAAGGCGGATATAAAGTAAAATATTGAATTGATATTCTGTTCTGAAGCTGATTGTAGAAAGTTCAAAGGGTTAATCGTTCCAAATCCAATACTTCTAGCCAAGGAAAAGTTGAGGCAGTCGCAGAGAATGTGCTTTATAGTAAGAGTTTTTCCACAACAGCAGATTGGGGAAGAAGACTTCTTCAGGATCCATTGGTGAGTTGCAATTGTTAATTGAGGATTAATGCAAGAGTAGTGTTGATGATGGTATTGTAAATTTCCCTCTGCAATTTTCTCTTTAACTTTTCTTCCAATATATCTTTGAAGATCCAACTTTTCCATGACATCATCCATAATTAGAGGAGCAGAAGCAGCATACTTTGCCGCTCGATCAGCCTACTCATTTCCCAGTAAACCGATGTGACTTGGTACCCATAACATTTTAATTTTTCCGTCGGGTGTAGTAATTATATTCCTTAATTTGTTGATGGTGCTCCATCTCGAAGTCGAAGGGTTCCGGGTAGCTTGTAATACAGACAAACTGTCAGTAACAATGACGGTTTTGAGTTTGTTTTTATGGGCAAGGTTGGCAGCGTGAAGGATAGCTCTGGCTTCGGTTATGAAAGTTGAAGTGCTTTCGTGAAATATGTGGTTGAGAAGAACCCGTCCTGTACCATCTACCACCGCACAAGCAGGAGGCAGACCAGGAGATTTTGAGCCGTCTTTGTACAAAAGATTCCAACCAGTATTGTCCAATACTTGGGTTTTCTCAGCTATTAGATTCCTGAAGACGTAATTTGGAGTATCTTCGTTCTTGTGCATAGACAGTGAGATGTCAAAAGAGCAATCTTTCAAAATCCAGGGAGGTTTAACACCAAGAGAGCGGGAAATTTTTAAGGGAATGTTCAATTCCTTTGCGATGCACAAACAATGGTCAATTGCAGATGGTGACTTTGGAATTTTCTTCGCAATAATAATTTTTCTTACGTCATCACCGAGAATGGATTTGTTTGAATTAAAAAGCTTAGGGACTATTTTAGCTTTTAACTCATACAGTCTATTTTCTAAAGTTGGGAGACCAGTTTCAATTATAATATCATTTATGGGCGTCGTCCGAAAAGCATAACAACATGCTCTAATGGCTTGGTGATAGACCAGTTTAAGGATGTTGAAATTAGATTTGCAGCTATTGCCATAAATTATCAAAGCATAGTCAATCTTGCTTAACACAAGAATTTTGGTAAGATAAGCGATAGTGTTAATAAGCGCATGGCTTCTCCAAGCAACGTACTGTATGAAATTTACCCTTCTTAAAAGGGAGTTTTTTAACCGAAGGCAGTGTGCTTTCTAACGATAATTGTTTGAAAACGTGAGCCCGAGAACATGGAGCGTCTGCATATTTAGTGCTGGTAAGTCCTTAGTATGCATCAGTAGGTTTCCTGCATCGCACATTTGTTTTCGACAAATGTGCATTTTTTTTTGATTTTTGTATAGAAATTTTAGCCCCTGACGAGTTTGCCCATGTGGAGATCTCACATGCAATAGATTCGAGGATGTTGATTGCTTTCGTGTTGTCTTTTTCATTTGTAAAAATGTATACATCGTCCGCGTAGAGACAATGTTCCACTCTTGGTACACGGCAAAGAATTTTACTAATTTCGTTGAAGGCGATCTGGAAAAGCGTGACAGAGAGAATGCCATTCATTAGCGGAAAGGAATCAGAGAGATGATTGTTGATTCTAACTTTGAACCGCCGATGCGACATGAATGATTTGATGTAGTTGAAGAAATTGGGTCCAACATTCCATGATTTCAAGAGTCTTAAGATAACATGAAGACCAACTCTGTCAAATGCTTTTTCGAAATCAATTGAGAGAATTGTTACGTGATTTCGTTCGGAAATTGCTTTGCTTGTGAAATAATCAATATGTAACAGTGCGTCGATGCATCCTCTACCCCGCTTGAAACCAACTTGTTGCTTTGTTATCAGGTTCTTGGATTCAAGAAACCAAGATAATCTAGATGCCATAATCTTCTCTAAAACCTTAGAGAGGCAAGATAAAAGAGAAATTGGGCGATAATCAGATGCGATGGAGACATTTTTTGACTTTGGAATTGGAACAACTGTTGCCAGTTTCCACATGTAGGGTGTATGGCCAGTCATAAATACCGTATTATATAGGTCCAGTAATTTCTTTTTACTAGACTTAGGCATAGCACTGATCATTTGATATGAGATGCGGTCTAGACCAGGTGTCTTCCCCTTCAAATTGGAGAGACAACTTCCAAGTTCTGAGGTGGATACGCAATTTTCCAGGAACATGGCACATCTATCGATATTATTTGAAGGAGATATTGGAATCCTTTTATTTTCAATGAAAGCACTGGAGAAGTTGCTGTCAGAGGAGTATTCGCACCACACTTTTCCAAAGTAATTAGAAATTTCATCTGCGTCAGTGAAAGTTCCATTGGGAGTGCAGATGGCAGAAATTTGGTTCAGGTTTGAAGTCCCATTAAGTCTGTTGATTTTGTTCCAGACAACTTTCATTGATGTATTTCTGTGAATTCGTCTCGAGAAAAGTTCGAAACTAAGGGCCTTTGATTTCCGTAATTCCTTCCTGAATAGAGCATTGGCCTTTTTGTATAATAACAAGTGATTCTGATCAGGACATCTCTTAAAGCGGTGCCATAGATCCATCTTATTTTTCCTCAAAAACGAATGCGTGTTGTTCCACCATGGAACCCTAGCTCGTTTAAAAGAGGTGTTGGATTGAGGAATAGAAAGATGAGCAGCCGTGCGAATCGCTTTAGACATAATAGCAGCATCATGGTTGCAGTTTCCGTTAAATGGCTTTGAGTTCAAAAATGACTCCACCTGTTTGGAGTAATTGATCCAATCCGAAGAAAGCATTTAATATTGTAGGAATATATAGTATATATAATAGTTAGTAGTACATAAAAGATAGAATAATATATCCGAGAAAATAAACTATAAAAAAGTGAAATAAAAAAGGAATTCTTTTCTATGAAAGGAAAGTAGCTTAGGGGTTCTCGCGCCCAATTTCGGGGTTTCCCATAGACATCATAGGCCGAACGAGACCATAGCTAGGGCAGGGTGAAGGATAGCCCAGGGCTTAGGATATGCCAGCTCTGTAATGTAGGTTTTGTCCGTCCATCTATTTGTACAAGGGTAAAGTATGTACATTTCTCTCAGGTGTAGTTGTGTGTCGAGTGTCCGTGAGACAAAATTTAGAACCTTCCCACATTTCCTGAACTAACTAGAACAGTTGTTGCACATACGACAGTCTCTACAGCCTGTAATCCTAAAAATAATAAAGCCCATGGACAACAATTATCTAGACTTAGAGGACTTTGTAGTATGGGTGTTTGATATGGGGTTTTCAGTCGACTTACGATCGTGCATTGGGTTTTGCTGATAATTAGGTTTAGTCCGAAGTTGTCACTCTAATCATTTACAGCTTGAACCATCATCTGCAGATCCTGCATATTATCTGTTAGAATAGTTACATTGTCTGCATATCGAATGTTATTGATGAATTTCCCATTGATCTTAATGCTTGTTTATCGTTTGAATAAATTACCTTAGATCAGTCGTTGAAAGGCGAGAAGACAAAAAGCACCCTTGGCGAACCTCTCTCTCTTCAGGAATATAATTTGTCCTGACATCATTATCAAAGACGTCTGCTGTTTGTCTGCAATATAAATTGTTGATGCAATGTGTATCTTTTCCGTCAATACTAAGACCTTTTTGGATGTCTTTTAATTTATCGTTCCATAATTTGTCAAACGCTTTTTCATAATCTATAAAATAAAGAAAACCTTCTTTATACACATTTCAACGGTTGTGGACTGTAGTCTGAATGCAGATTAAAGGTTCTCCAGTGCCCATGCCTCTCCGGAAACCAAACTGAGTACGGCCATGTGCTGATTCACGTTCAGCATAGAGCCTTTGCCTTCTTAGAGAAATTTTCAGAACATAATTCATTAGGGATATTTTATCGTTCATAATGGGTGGGCCCGTAAGCTGTTCTTCATCATCTTGAAAGTATACACATCTCGTATAATCTGCAAATAATTGACGAATATAATCTTCCCATAACTTTTTTTTTATCTTGGCGAATATTTCTTTACCGTTATTCATCAGAACAGCTGGCATTGTTTTTCTTTGCAGGCCACAACTTTCCTTTAGTTTCTTGTATAAGTTAAAGTTGTCATGCAATGGTTGAAGCCTTTCTATTTCGCAATACGATTACTCGTCCGGACTTTTCTTACTTCCAGGATTTACTTCCGACCTTAACGACATGGGCGACCCTACCAGTAGCTACGCCACCGCCAGCTTCACTCCTGAGGTCCTTGCACATAGCAAGCGTCCCCATCGCAGTAAGATGACAGTCCGTCGAGGACATATGGAAGGATTAATGATACGAAGTTGATTGCAAGCTTTAATGGATTAACTATGTCAATTGGACAATTGGAGTAAAAAACAAAAGAGAAAGAATCATTTTACTTGGAGGGTTTATGCTATCGTTGTGGAAAACACAATCAACTGCAACATATAATTCAACTAGGAAAAAATTAATTAATGAAATAACTTTATTTAGATCCAGACAAAGAGCTTCAAGTTCACAGTGAACATTTTTTACAAATAACTGCGGACCTTCTGCTCTTAATTTGCTAAATCGAAGAAGAGTTATTTTACTCACCTTTCATAAATTAAAAACTTTTGGTTTTGGTTCAACTGTTTGCAAGTGAACAATTTTGTTTGCAATTGAATTTGTTTTCAATTTACAATTGGTTACTCTTATCAGTGCAACTCTAAATAATCAACACTACATTAGCATTAATTCAAAACGCGAACTATATATATAGCTTTTATGTGACTTAACAGAAATGAGAGAGCGTTTCTTGCACCTACGATGCATATGAAACGCAAATAAACTCGGAACTCGAAAATAAGACCCAATTTACACCTTAATAATGAACATTCTCATGTCGCTTTTATCGGAACAATTGCGACAAAGTTATCAAAGTAGAATAAGAAAACACTGTATGAATGTGAAATTGAAACAGTTTAATATTAGTTTGGGGAAAAAGAAATCCATTATTTTTTCGGTAGACGGTAGATTTCTCGTAAAGTATCGATCAAACAATTTTAGATTTATGCTCGTTGGAAAGGTGACATTTCGCAGTAAAAAAAATTCTTTTGCTGTTTTTTGTTTGGTGCATTCAGTTGTGAGTTACAGCGTGTTAAAAATGGAAGTGAACAAAGAGAAAATTCGGTACAGTTTTTCTTTGACAAAGGCGAAAATGCAAGCCAGGCGGCTAAA